ATTATATTAATAAAAATTACAAATTAATAAGTTAGTTATTGTATTTATGTAGAAATTTAGTCAAGATCATATGAAAGAATGACCAACAATGAATGAAAAATTTTATAATGGGAAAAATAAAAAAAAAATTAGAAAATTTTAAAGGGTAACTGTTTTGAAGAAGAAAAATATTATGTAATTTATAATGGTAAACTAATAATTTTGATTGCATTTGATTCAGAATATAAATCCAAACAAACCTTGATATAATGCCCACCTAAATAACCTTGCCTTCATAAACTGCTGATAAGAATACTTATATCTCTAAAGTAATAAATGTATGATTTTGCATTTCAAATGATATCCTCATCAAATCATGTTACTTTCAACTCCAAAATTCAAATTTAAGTGCAATTTCATTATATATAAAATTCTGATTGAACATATTTAGTTTAACACCATACTCACTTTAATGTCAATTTAAGAGAAATAAACAAATGATAATACTAAATTGAGGTTTGTCTATATACAAAAGTTATCTGATTGGTAATCACATAAATGTTCTTTGTTGGAAAGTTATTCAGTTGATTCAGTATCATCATCACTCAAAATTAATTAAGTAGTAAGAAATATGTGTGTCAGTATTTTTGTATAAATCGTCAGTAGATAATACAGTAATGATGAAAAATTAAATATTTTCATATTCTGTTTCTAATTTAAGTTTGTAAATAATCTTAATTGCTTTAAATTACATCAAGCATATCAGATTTTCTAATGGATATTTCTGTAAAAGGATAGAATATGATACTTTTTATTATTTGACTTTGACAATACAATAGAACACTGATTATTCAAAAATGTGGACTGATATTACTTTGGATAACTAAAAACTTGGAGGCACAACCATTTTGGATTAAAAATTACATGTATAAAATATTTATATATATATTTGACAGTATAGACAGTATAATTTAGTTACATTTTAATGTGAATGGTTTTGTCTCATGTTGAAGTTAAATGATAAAAGGTAACAAACAAATCATTTTGTAATACATATTATTGTCTTAAACGTTTTGTTTTGAATTACGATACAAGAAAAGTAGTGTATTTGGTTATGGGATCTCCTTGGATAATATAGCATATCAGCTAATAGGGGCTCAGATAATTGGGATTTTATTGTAATTATGAGTCAACTGAGAAATCTTTCAATGACGAACTTAATATGATTACTAGTTAGATAATTTTTGCAATATAAAACATTTTAAAAATCATATCTATTCTTGAAATTTTATTTATTTATTTATTTTTTTGCATAAGAATCCTTTGAATAGGATGAGTTTTAAAAGGATCAGGATTTGAAGGGAAAGATTCTAGTTAAATCTTATAATCTAATGTATAGACAAAGATAAGTTGAAATAAATAAATTTTCTGCACACTAAATAAATATTTAATTTATAAATTAAACCTTTATAAAGGATCACAAAATAAACACCATGAGAAGCCTTTTAGCAGCAAGAAAGTTAATCTAAAGTTTAATTAAAGCAAGTCTTTTTTGTCATTTTAAACATACATCTTCAGGCTGTTTTCTTGCTGCTAAAATTTTTTTATGGTATTTCATATAGTAATTTAGTATGATTTAATTTTTTAAAGATTTGATATAAAATTATAATTTAAATTAAAAAATGCTTTGAAAAATGCAGATAATAAAGAATAATTTTAAATTAAATGAGCAAATATTTTTCAAGTGAGTATTTTTAACAAAATAACATATATAAAACAATAGTTTAAAGTACTAATTTTTGAACTTTAAGAGTTATGACAAATTGAAAAATTGGAATGCAAATGTTCTCTTATAATGTGTTTTTAAATGAT